GCAATACAAAAGTATACAAAATTTGCAAACTTTGCAAGGCCATATTTTCCGGATTTTACAACATTTTGCAACCAAACTTTGCAATTTTACTCATTTTAGTATGCTCTTTCTAGTTGTGGTGATTTATTTGCATCTCTCTGCCTAGTTTCAAAATTAGTCCATAATGGGAATTGTCTATTTACCGGCATGAACATGAGAGACTATTTATTTGGCTCCATTTATGAATAGTAATTTGTTTTGTGATACATTTTTAAAACTTGTAAATATTTTCAAAGACCCCCCCTTCTTTCGTCTCTCTGTATTTTTTAAAGCCCTCCCTTTCAGGTTTAAAAAAAATTAAAAGCCCCCAGTTTCTCCTCAATCCCCCCTCCCCCCCTGTACAACAAATAATGAGCGGTCCTTTACGATATTCGGTCATCTGAGTTACTCAATAATCTAAATTGGAAACCTCTCGAAGAAAGACGAAATTATCTTAAATCTATTTTCATCTATAAAATTCTGAATGGCCACACCGCACCCAGTCTTAAAGAAGCATTTCAATTTAGTAATGAAAGACATATAATACTTACAATCTTAGAAATAGGGATACTGATTTAGCACCACCTATGCCGAAAAAACTAGAATTCGGCAAGAGGTGCTTCAGTTATAAAGGTGCCTTGCATTGGAATAATCTTCCCCATGAGGCAAAAATTGCTGAATCCTTAAGCTCTTTCAAGTCGATATTGAAACAAATAATGAGTTGAAATTTGCTTGTGTATAATCATAGACAATCCAGAAGACATGTGTGACATGATTAGTGTACTTTATGTTTCGATCAATTGGTTATCAAGCAATGTATAACTGCTGCATTCTTGCCGATCTACAAATGTTCAATATAAAATAAATAAATTGAGCTATATACCGAAAGCACAGCTCGAGTCGATTATGCCTGTGCTACTCCTTTTGTCTTCTGGATTGTCTATGGTATAATCGTGCAGCCAAAATTACCTGTATTTTTTTTGTTATATTTTGTATTTCTTGTAAAAAGTTAATTTCTTGTAAATACGCAATTTCACGCCCCTCAAGGAAACCAGCCTTCCAACGGCTGAGGCTAGCGTGGTTTAAATAAGGTTTTGTATGTATGTATGCAGTGTTGTAACGAGTCACCTACAGGTCGAGTCACGAGTCGAGTCGAGTCACTCAAAGGTCGAGTCACGAGTCGAGTCGAGTCATTTCAGTTTTTGATCGAGTCGAGTCGAGTCGAGTCAGTGGCTTCACTC